TGGTATAGCTTTCAGAGAGGTGACTTTAATTTACTCCTCTGTTGTGTGACTTCATTGATTGCTATTGATTTGTGAGCCATGTTGCAAAGAGATCCCGTGTCCTTATTTCCTGTATATAACTCATTATAGCTGTAGCAAAAGCAACTTGCCTTTTGCTTTTTTATTTCTTTAACTTGAGCTTCTTACCTGGAACTATCTCAAACAAGTGTCTATTCGGCTCTTCTGGCTGAGGGGTGATCTCCACTACACGATTCCCTGGGAGTGGTATACAGCCCTAAATAGAACCAACAAAGCAGTTATACGAAAGGTACCTAATTGTTTAAGATCAATTAATTAAAATGAAAACCTTTTACAGTATATTACACACTTCTGCAAACATGGGTTTGCCTCTCATTTTTAGGTTGATGTTGATAAACTCTACTGAATGTCAATTAATATACACAGCATTAAGGTAAACGTTGATCTCTGATTGTACCTTAACATTGCAAAAATCTGGGGAAATCCTGAATTAGACTCCATATTTTATTTCAGTGAACTGGATAGCATTTTTGATAAGAAAACTAACCCTAAATACGTATATAAGTACAATTTGAGGAATTTGGTGTCTGCAAAAACAACCTCGTATTTCAGCATTTTATGTACAGTGTGAGAGTTTTGATATTTATTAGACAATAGACTTTGAGATGCACATTTGTCTGAACTGCAGTTTGTCTGAATTTAGGCCTATTGGGTAATTGGTCAATTTTACAAACTTCAAGACAAAATATTATTCAGATCACGAACCAACCAAAACAAGCAATGGTCAAGCAATTCCGTTTCGGTTTGTGATTCTGAATTCTGCCAATAACAGCCCAAAAAAATAAAAATAAAGATTATTAAAGCAGGAAATCGCTGATGTCTAGGGGACAGTCACTAAATGTTGCTTTTATTCACAGATCAAATAGGAAGTGAGCAATAGGAGAAGCAATAAAAAAATAATATAAATTTAATGCATGTATTATATATTTAAAGGGAAACTACCAACACCTAAAGCACTTAAGCTTTCTAAAGTTCTTTATGTCTGAAGTGAGTGTCTTTTTTTTCTTATTTAACTCAGTGGACATAAACACAAGAGGCAGGAACTTGCCTTGTGAACACTTTTCCTTAAGCTGCACTTGGAAACCTGTAATTGGACAACCATGGGAAGTCTAGGCGGTGTTAGAAAAGGGGGGCTTGCAATGACTTCAGACAAGAGACCTGCAGATTTTGCAAGATTACTTTTTCTATATACCCCTAATGAAAAATGCATGATTAAATGCAGCATGCTTTCAGAGGTATATCTGCTAAACAGTGAGTTTTTTTGTATTTGTGCAGTAGAGTGTCCTTTAATTAATATAGAATACATAAAAATATGAATTTAGAAATTTCCCCTCTTCAGTATTTGGCAGAGAAATTAAAACCTTAGGCTTAATATTTTTATTTTCAACAAGCTTTATTGGTAATTTTCAAGTTCACAGAGACATCCAAACCTATCTCGTTTGAATTATGGCTAGGTATTGACTGGTACAACATATTCTATAATATTGTTACACAACCCATGCAATGGGGACATGAACATTTTGTTAAAGCCTCAAGGCATCAGATTCGGTTTTAGTTGCCATTACTGAGTTTTTAGGTTGATGTAAACATAAGCTAAATATTGCCTTTATGAAGGTGAGATGAGGCCTGTAATAGTCCCAAATGTGGTGCCATACTAAAATCTAATGAAATTTCTATACCATAATGTTTGTACTACCTATTATTAAAGACCTCCTGGGCTACGTGAATTGGCATGTCTTAGGTAGTAGCCTACATTACAAGGTTTATAGCCTACTGACTGTACTGAGCATAATTACTATGGTCGCTTTCTGACAAAGGACTGCTGTCCAGCTGTACTTAATAGATCCTGTATTTATTAAGCTTGTTCTTTAATAAATCCAGTGCATTCCTGTTTTATTTCACTTGTAAAATACTTTTTTTCCCCAGCTGTGACTAAAAACCAGCTGTTGCTCTCTAAATGGTTGTAGTTTACATTCCTGCCAGAGGAGGGAGTCATAGTAACAATGTGTCCAGATGCTACGTTGCACTGAGGGCATTGAGTGGAGCAGCACCTGTTTGCACAGTGCTTTTTACACTTAGTTATTATTTAAGCGTGGATTTCTTCTGGCTGCTGTACATACTGTATTTACCAAACATTAGCCAATGCAAATCCCATCAATCCCTAATCTTGTTGGATGTGATAAAGTTATCAATGAAAAATAGTGTTTGCAGACAAAGAGGTCAAATAGTTGCGTTTAAATTATAGCATTCATTAATCATTCTAATGCTTGCAAATGAGATCATTATGTCATTTTGATTATTATTTAAAAGGCTCATGGCAAACAATTACACCACTGAAAAGTCTAAGAAAAGAAATTGAAGACTTTGTCTCCTACTATAGTTTATTAATTAAGGTTTGACACACAACTTACCTGCGGTTTAGTTTCCTCTTCATCTTTATAATAGCACAGCTCCTGTCCTCTCAGTACAAACCATCTTTGTTGCCAATTCTTCATGATGCTCCTCTGTTTCTTCAACCATCCAGACTTCACTGCTTGATCCTGCCCAAAGGTAGGAGATTGACCTGGACTTGGGACTCTGTTTTCCCCCATCACCAGACTTCTAGAACGGGCTGTAAGACAAACAATTCAAAGTACTAGTCGTGTAGGTGGAATTTAAAGATAGCTAAGAATTAACATACCAGTTTCAACTGCCTACATATACACACTACCTGCAACGGACACTCTTTAATTCAGATTTCTGCTCATCATGACAGCCGTGTCTTCAACTATATTGCTGCAATCTATACCAGATCTTCTGAAAGCGTATTTCATTAAAGAGACACTATAGTCACCAGAACAACTACAGCTTATTGAATTTGTTCTGGTGAGTAGAATCATTACCTTCAGGCTTTTTGCTGTAAACACTGTCTTTTCAGAGAAAATGCAGTGTTTACATTACAGCAGGCCCGGACTGGCCATCGGGCACACCGGGCAAATGCCCGGTGGGCCGCGGTGTCCATGGGCCGAGGCCGGCAGGGGAGGTCCCAGGATCTCCCCTGCCGGTCTATGCAGGGCCGGCACTATCAGAGTGCCGGCCCCGCTGTCTTCCATGGAGGGCCGGTGGGGAGATCAAAGACCTCCCTCACCGGCCCATTTAAATAGACCTGCGGCTGGGGAGGGAGGGAGAGGACCCGGCGGAGCTCTATCTTGCAGCTCCACCGGGCCCCTCTCGCGAGATCGGGAGCGTTGCCATGGCAACGCCCCGATCTCGCGAGAGTGAACTCTAGCCCTCAGGCTAGAGTTCACTCACAACTGGACCACCAGGGATGATGAACGAGTGCCGGTCCCTCTCCCAGATCCCCCCCTCCCAGGCTAAAGGTAAGAAGGGAGGGGGGGGGATTTAATGCCTGCTTAGTTTTTTTTTTTTAATTGTTTATTTACCCCCCCCATAGTTTTTTTTTTATTGTTTATTTACCCCCCTTAGTTTTTTTTATTTGTATATTTAACCCCACTTAATTTTTTTATTTGTTTATTTACCCCAACACACAACATTTATACACAGCACTCTCACACACATCATACACAGCACTCAAACACATCATACACAGCACTCTCACACACATCACACTCAGCACTCACACACATCACACAAAACACTCACACACATCATACACAGCAATCTCACACATCACAGCACTCTCACACACATCACACTCAGCACTCTCACACACAGCACTCTCAGCAATATCGCACACATCACACTCAGCACTCTCACACACATCACACTCAGCACTCTCACACACATCACACTCAGCACTCTCACACACAACACACACACAGCACTCTCACACACAACACACTCAGCACTCTCACACACATCACACGCAGCACTCTCTCACACATCACACTCAGCACTCACACACATCACACACGACACTCTCACACACAGCACTCTCACACATCACTCTCACACACATCACACTCAGCACTCACACACATCATACACAGCACTATCACACTCAGCACTCACACACAACACTCTCACACACATCATACACAGCACCCACACACACAGCACCCTCACACAAATCAATCACATACGGCACCCTCACACCCACAGCACCCACACACACAGCACCCTCACACAAATCAATCACATACAGCACCCTCACACACATCACACCTCACACACAGCATCCATCACACACACACACACACACAACCCCCCGATACACTGCATCCAGTGGCGTACATACCAGGGTCGCAGGGGTCGCGGCTGCGACCGGGCCCGGCCCACCAGGGGGCCCGGCCGCCCCTGCGACCCGGTATGTAGCCACAGGGCCAGCCTCTTCCCCTTGGGGGCCAAGGAGGCGGCCACCCCAGGGCCCCCCAAGGCTGACCCTGCTGACCCAGGCGGGTGGCCGGTCGGGCAGGCGGGCGCGCGAGGGAGCACTCAGTGCTTCCTCTTCAGCTCCCTCGCGCACCGCACTGATACCGGAGCCGGAAGATGACGTCAACTTCCGGCGCCGGCATCCCTACGCGGCGCGCGAGGGAGCTGAAGAGGAAGTACTGAGTGCTCCCTCGCGCGCCCGCCTGCCGGACCGGCCAGGAGCCCAGCAGCACCACTGGACCCCAGGGAATCCCCCCAGCACTCCAAAAGGTAAGGAGGCTGGGGGGATTACATTTAAAAAAAAAAAAAAATAGTGTGTGTGTGTGAGTGTTAGTGTGTGTGTCTGCTAGTGAGTGTGAGTGTTAGAGTGAGTGTTCGTGTGTGTGTCTGCTAGTGAGTGTTAGAGTGAGTGTTAGTGTGTGTGTCAGTGTGAGTGTTAGTGTGTGTGTCTGCTAGTGAGTGTTAGAGTGAGTGTGAGTGTGTGTGTCTGCTAGTGAGTGTCAGTGAGTGTGTTACTGTGTGTGTCTTACTGAGTGTGTGTGTGTTAGTGAGTCTGTTTGATGTCTGTTAGTGAGTGTGTGTTTGTCAATGAGAGTGTATGTTTTGTAAGTGAGTATGTATGTCTGTCGCTGAGTGTGTCTCTGTCAGTAAATGTGTGTGTCTGTTAGCTAGTGTGTATGCGTCTGTAAGTGTGTGTGTGTCTTCAGCACTTACCTTTCTCCAGCGCCGGACTCCCTTGGCGCTGGGGATCCCTCAGCCTCTCAGCTCCGAATGCGACCGCGCACGCATTCAAACCGCCCATAGGAAAGCATTACTCAATGCTTTGCTATGGACGTTCAGTGTGCTCCTCTAGCGGCTGTCAGTGAGACAGCCACTAGAGGCTGGATTAACCCTCAGTGAAACATAGCAGTTTCTCTGAAACTGCTATGTTTTCAGCTGCAGGGTTAAAACTAGAGGGACCTGACACCCAGACAACTTGATTGAGCTGATGTGATCTGGGTGTCTGTAGTGGTCCTTTAAAGGACCACTATAGTGCCAGGAAAACATACTCGTTTTCCTGGCACTATAGTGCCTTGAGGGTGCCCCCACCCTCAGGGGCCCCCTCCCGCCCAGCTCTGGAAAGGGGTAAAACTTACCTTTTTCCAGCGCTGGGCGGAGAGCTCTCCTCCTCCGATCCTCCTCTTCTCCTCCCCGTCGGCTGGCTGCGCGCGCATTCAGCCGGTCACATAGGAAAGCATTCATAATGCTTTCCTATGGACGCTGGCGTGCTCTCACTGTGAAAATCACAGTGAGAAGCACGCAAGCGCCTCTAGTGGCTGTCAATGAGACAGCCGCTAGAGGAAATAGGGGAAGGCTTAACCCATTCATAAACATAGCAGTTTCTCTGAAACTGCTATGTTTATGAAAAATGGGTTAACCTAGCTGGACCTGGCACCCAGACCACTTCATTAAGCTGAAGTGGTCTGGGTGCCTAGAGTGGTCCTTTAAGTGTGTGTGCATCTGCATGCACTGGCGTACATACCGCGGTCGCAGGGGTCGCAGCCCTGTAACCCCTGCGACCAGGTGCCCACCGCCATGTGTTGCGGTCCGGCCCGCGCGCACAGGGGGCCCACGGTTCAATTTTCGCACCAGGGCCCCAGGGGTCATGTGTACGCCACTGACTGCATCACACACATACACAATACTTCCAAACATATTTATATAAAATACAAACACACAGCACCCCTCACACACACACTGCACCCCTAAACACATTACATTCCAGACACACACTAGATCCTTTACCCAACTCTGGAATCCTATAGATCCCTATATACACTCTGAATCCGTTATATACGTACGCTCACTAGATCTCATATACATAGTCTGGGTCCTTCAAACACACACAAGACATATATATATATATATATATATATATATATAGCCAAAAGTACAAGATAGCACTCCAGGGACTTCCAAGTTGAATGAATAAAACTTAGCTTTTATTAGCTCAAAATAAAAATCAACGTTTCAGTCTGTCATCAGTCTGTGATACAGACTGAAACGTTGATTTTTATTTTGAGCTAATAAAAGCTAAGTTTTATTCATTCAACTTGGAAGTCCCTGGAGTGCTATCTTGTACTTTTGGCTGTATCTGTTTGCTGATAAGCACCGGGCAAGTACATCAAGGAAGGTGGAGTGCATTACTATTTTTGTTTTTTATATATATATATATATATATATATATATATAATGCAAAAATATGATTTAGGCACTCACCCTTAAAAAATTTGTGTGAATCTTGCCTTTGGTGCTTCCAGCGTCCAAATATATAACCAAAGATAGATAGGAGCACTCAAAAGGACTTCGTTATCGATATTTATTGTGACAAAAGTTTACATCAAAGTGTAGAACATCAAATCGACGTTTCGACCCCTCAGGGTCTTTTTCAAGATCAAACACTGAGTGAAATAGGTACAGTTTAAATATAAGTTATATTTGGTTATATATATATATATATATATATATATATATATATATATATATATATATATATATATATATATATATATATATATATACACACACACACACACACACACACACTCTGGATCCCCTATATGCACACTAGATTCCTTGTAAGCAAACACATACTACATTCCCTGAACACACACTCTCTACAAACACTACATCACCTATACACACACACACACTATAGCCTGTATGCACACACTTGCTACATCCCCTATACACACATTCTCTACAGCCCCTAGCCACATATGCATTACATTACACCACAAACACAACATGACTAAAACCGACCTTATTACACAATACCACACCACAATCAGCTCACTCTACACACACGCAATACCACAAGCAGACTCCAAACACATGCACAATACTCTTTCCTGGCCCTTTTGTCTCCTGGTATCCCATTTATAGAGACACCAGAGACAAGTTGCAAGGAAACACAGTGCAAGCATGTTATTAAATTTGCTTGCACTGTGCAGAACAAATACAGGGCTTTTTTTCTCATGCTAGAGTTCTTCAGCAGAGCTCTGCGCATGGTCTGCCCTGGAAGAGCATTGAACCAACATGCTCACTTTGAGAGGGGGCGTGTTTGTCATGAGTGATGACAAAACACACCCTTTCTGCCCCGCCCCCTTCTTAGTGGGCCGCTGTGATAAAAAAATGCCCAGGCCGAATTTTTTTCCCAGTCCGGCCCTGCATTACAGCCTAATGATAACTTCACTGGCCACTCCACAGATGGCTGTTAGAGATTCTTCCTGGGTCATGGCTGCCTAAAATGCATCCAAGCGTTCAGTGTCTCCACCCTCTCCATGCAGACGCTGAACTTTCCTCATAGAGATTCACTGATTCAGTTCATCTCTATGAGGAGATGCTGATTGGCCAGGTGCAAGACACAATCACATGGACCATATGCATAAGTGTCCATGTGAGCATGATCAGTGTAAATGTGGCACAATCCCATTTACATAAAGTGTAAATGATATATTAAGCATTAAACCACTAAGTGCAAATTATAGATCAATATACAAAGGACTTTTACAAGTCATGTTGGCTCTGCCCCTGATCTGCCTCTTTGTCAGTCTCAGCCAATCCTATGGGGATGCACTGTGATTGGATCAGGGTACCACTTCTGCTGATGTCAGCACACTGCTTGTTTTTCTGAGTCTAACAGCAAGCAGAGTTACAGCTTCAAGCTTGAATACAGTAAGATTTTTACTATATTTATGGAGGCATGAGGGGCCCAGGGGGGCTAGATGGTGGCGTTAACACTATAGGATCAGGAATACATGTTTGTGTTCCTGACCCTATAGTGATCCTTTAACCTACAGTGCATGTTATATGCATTTGCATGCTCATTTATGGACAATGTGCAGCAGAGTATCGTTGAATATCTTACATTGCTCTTCATAGACTTAACTTAGAAGGGAAATACACAGATATATTCTTAGTACCTAGAGGGACACTATAAGCACCAAAACAACTTTAGCTTAATTAAGCCGTTTTGGTGTATAGATCATACCCCTGACGTCTCACTGCTCAATTATTTCCCATTTAGGAGTTAAATCACTTTGTTTATGTAGACCCAGTCACACCTCCCAGCATGTGACTTACACAGTCTTCCTGCAGGAAAGATCTAATATAACTTCATTTATTGCACAGCCTGGTTCAATTATCTCTTGCCCAGTTGATAAAGTGCAAAATGTAATCATGTGCATAAAGGTGCAAGACACAATCACATGGACCATTTGCATAAGTGTCCATGTGAGCATGATCAGTGTAAATGTGGCACAATCCCATTTACATAAAGTGTAAATGATATATTAAGCATAAAACCACTAAGTGCAAATTATAGATCAATATACAAAGGACTTTTACAAGTCTAATGTATCCTCCTAGGCAAAAAAGCATGAGCAATTGCCTTCCTCTTGAGCCAAGAAGTGACAGGGACGGTTATCTAATTGACTGCCGGGGGGCTTCATTTATAAGCTTCATTTATAAAAGTGACACTTTTTTTAAATTGAAATCTGCACTTTTTGTTAAGTGAAAAAAGAGGACACACTCTTCATACATAATGCACTTCAGGAAGCTAAATTGCTTTAGAGGTCTGGAGTGTCCCTTTAAATTTGTAATTTACTTCAAATTTTAATTTTAATAAATAACCCTGTTACATACCTCCCAACTTCGGTGCCAGAGGAGCGTTTTGTTTCTCCCACAAATGGTAGGATCAATCTAGAAAAGAGCATGTTTTCCCAAGGAATTGCCAGGTCAGCCTGGCATGAATGTCAGGTTTCCTGCCAATCAAGTAGATAAGACCACAGAGGAAAAAACATGGAGGGAGCACTTATACAGGGCTCTCTGTAGGATCCCAATGCTCTGAGTATACTGCGAGCGTGTCTAATAATGGACTTACACTATGCTTGTTGGGGACAGCTCTAAAAGTAGGACACCAGGGAGCAATAGTTATTATGCAGGGACAGGACCCGAAAATTAGGATTGTCCTGACAAAATAGGGACTATTGAGAGGCCTGCTGTTTCTCCTACTTAATGACTTTATTAAAGACACATCAGCTTTTAAATTTATGGCTAGATTAGCAATGATTATCTCAGTAAAAAGATAAAAGAAATCCATGTTGCATATCCATAGAAAAGTTCATTTTGAGAACATTTGGGGAAATAGCCAGGGTATATTGACAAAACATATCAGAACTGGGATTGATTCAGTACTGTTTATCTAAGTAATCTAACTGTAAGCAATATTGAAAATGTTTATGTACATTTTTTATTGAACTTCAATAAATTTGTACATTTGTTTTCTAATTCTGTACTCTACACTCTCCTGAATTTGCAGCAAATGAAATACACCTGTGTGAATGTGTGAACACCAAATGAGGGTGGACATTAACTTGCTACACCACAATTTTAAGCGAATCTATTTAACTTGAATTCTAGATATGATTTACCTACGAGGGGTGTACAGAAGCCCTTTAAGGTTTTGCTTTGCAGAAATGCTTTGCAAAGTGTGGGTATAGTGAAACAAATTGGTAATTGGTAGAGGCAAAAGACAAAAAATGCAATAGTAGAAGCATGGGTACGCTGGGCAGGATATTGGCACTACTAAGATTCAGTGCTGTTTGCCTCTAGCAGTGACCTTGAAAAGAAAAGGAAACTTTAGCCAAATTCCTAGCATACCCTAAAAGCAATGATGACTATTTTATTTAACTGATTTACCTATAGTTGCCTTGCCTACCCCA